TTTTGTCCAACTGAGCAATCTTGCTTTCATAAAATATACCAACTTTTTAATGAATGATGATTAACATGCTGTAATACACAGTTTAAATTTAAAAGCTCAAATGCTGTACATGAGAGGTCAAGCTTTATTGGCTTCTGGTGGTTTTACAAGGTGATTCCGGATACTTTCTGGCATGACGTCAAATGACGCGATACATCGCGTGATACTGCGTGATATTGCGTTTTGATGCGACACGCCCACCGGGGTATACCGCGAAATACCCCACCCATTTTGAATGGCTGCATCTGTATTTAGGACACTTTTACGATGATTTAAGTGTTCCCATTTTTTTAGTAATTATACCTTTTAAGCAATTTACTGAGTGATTTTAACAAATCTTGCATTCTACCACAAACACAAGTAGTGCTCTTTACTCCATATTAGAGTCTGTAACATGAAAATGGCCAGGAGGGAAAAAATATGATATTCATGTGAAGACTGGCTGCTTCCAGCATAATAGAAAGGAAATTAATGTTGACCTGCTGACAGAAAGGAAGTAGCAGCAAAAGAAGCAAGGGATCTGCTCTCACCCACCTGTCTGGGGGCACCTGCCTCTCAAACAGCAAGTGAGTGAGGTGCTGGGATGGGGTCTGCTGCAGCACCAGGAGGGGATTCCCCAGCTTCACCTCACAGGCCAGCTCTGCTTCCAGAAATAGAGAGAGACATTACAACTGTATTGGATACACATGGCTTATGCCTCATGATTCACTCTATGAGGCCTATATTATAACTTTCTCTTTGTCTACACTTTAATTATCCTTTCTTTGCTATACATAACAGTGTTCATCTGACTTGCCCTATAATCTCAATTTTCTTAAAACACTTTAATATCTCTTAAGCTCCCTCTTTCAACTTTCTCATGAAAATCCTAAAATCTCTCTCAACCTTCTTACTCACTATTTCTCTACCACTCTCAGGTCAGCCACTATCTGCAGCTGTTATGACAAAGTGTTCATTACACTGTGCCTCACACCTTGAGGTACTAATGCCTCCTGTAAGCCCCGGGTCAACAAGCTTCTCCTGTTCATCGGCAGCACACATTCTTCACCTTTAAACCAGGAAATATGAGCCACCATGCACCCTCCTGTCCACAAACTGGAACACACTTCAGTACACCTACAGCATCCTGTATAATGTATTGTCAAGCTGCTTTAAAGCTTGAAAAGGCTCACAGTCTGGTAAAGCCAGCCCAGTCCAGCTCTAGGAAGAACTAGCTGCAGAGTCCTAACTCCCATTCCCTCTCAGCTGATCCCATTTGCTCAGGAATGCCAACACAGGTTTGCTGAGATGTAGGGGATCCAGACTCTGTGATCAAAGCAATCCTCAAGTTTACCTTGGTTCACCTTAGTTAATTCAGTTCTGGGTAAATTATTAAGTGTCAATCAACAGTCCAGAAAGAGACCATATAAGATCAGATCAAGATAGAGGAAAGACGGGAGAAAAGGGGAAAAGAAGGTCAGGCCACATAAGAGAAAGGAGACAGAAACAGATGGAACTTGAAGCTTGTGCCAGGCAAGAGTCCCTGCTCTCCCGCTTAAGTTTGAACCTTGCTAAGAGAGCTTGGTATTCTATGGCTTTTAGAGAACTTGGTGTTCTGAGTGAAGAATCTTTTGGTTTAAAACTGTCTCTCCTGCTTAGTGGATGCATTTTAAAGTAGGAAGATAGGCTCCCATTTACTTAGTTGGATCAGGGTTAGAGAGGGAGAGATGTAATCGTAGATTGTACTCTGTTTGGTTTAGAAGGCCTCTGTAGGCATTAAGATTCACATACTAGGTAGCAGCCTGGGGTTTTCTGGGTGGTCTAGATATAAGTCTCTGAAATGCCTTTTCTGTAAACTTATAAATACATTAAGTTGTGTTTGATATTTTATTTTGTGTGTAGTGTGGTGTCTGTCACTGCCATTGTTAATAGTTATTTAACCAATTGTTCACCAAAGTTGTGGCAGAGAACAAATAATGCACCTCTTACAATGCCTCTACTTATACCAACCACTCAGGTATGTACTTGGAGAAATGATTTACAAGTAGGGGCTTATATTTATTTTAAGTAGGTAGCTTTGACAACATGTGTAGGCTGCAAAGGAACAGGTAAAGGTTTATTCGACGCTGAAAAGAGTAGAAAAGAAACAACATTTAGGCTGTGGAGCCTCCTTTGGGTGTCAATAGTGCCCACCCAACGAAGGCTCCACAGCCAAAACGTTGTTTCTTTTCTTCTCTTTTCAGCATGGAATAAATATGTATTTTTTTATTGACTAATCCTGATCTGCTTGGTTATTTCCTGATTTTCTCTATTTTTGTAACCCTCCATTTGTAACAATACCATTTATTAAAAAAAGCTATTACAACCATTGTTTATACTAGACATAAAAAAGCTTGTGAACGTTATACAGTGTCTTGCAAAATTATTCAGACCCTTCAAAGGTTTTCAAATGTTGCTGGATTACAACTGATACTTAACACTATTTTTCCAATCAGTATTTTTATTGCAAATTTACATGCTCAAACAGAAAATTTTAATGACTAAATTAGTTATTTGTCAACAGATATCTTAAAGAACTTTAAAAACTGAAATGTTCTGCTTGCATAAGTATTCAAACCCCACACATTCACATTTGGTAGTGCCACCTTTTACTACAATAACAGCTTTAAGTCTTTTGGAGTAGGTGTCTAACAGCTTTGCACACTGGTTAGGAATGATTTTTCCCCCTTTCTTCTTGGCATTTCATTCTAGCTCTTTCAAGTTTCTTGGACAGCACTTTGGGACCGCAATTTTCAAATCGTGCCACAGATTCTTAATGGTGTTGAGGTCAGGTCTCTGACTGGGCCACTCAGGGACATTCACCTTTTTATTCTTGTGCCACAAGGCTACTTTGGCCTTGTGCTTTGGATCATTGTCCTGTTGAAAGATTAATCTTCTCCCTAGCTTAATATTTAAGCAAACTAAAACAAGTTCCCTTGCAGTATTTCCCTGTACCTTGCTCCAACCATTTTTCCTCCAATTCTAACAATATTCCCAGTCCCTGCTAATGCAAACCATCCCCACAGCATGATGCTGCTGCCACCATACTTCACTGCATGGATAGTGTTTCTTGGGACATGGGCAGTGTTAGGTTTGTGCTTTGAATTTTGACCGAAATTCGAAAAAGCTCTGACCACAAAAAAAAACATCTGACCACAAACCTTTTCCCAAATCTTAATTGGATCACCCTCATGATGCCTGGTAAACTCTAGATGGGATTTGAAATGGTTCTTTTTGAGTAACGGCTTCTTTCTCGCCACCCTCCCATACAAGCCAGTGTAATATAGAGCTCTTGATATAGTCGACCGTTGTTACTCCACTCTTAGCCACTGATCTCTGTTGGTTTTTCAAAGTAATTGTTGGCCTCTAAATGGCTTCCTTCACAAGTTTCCTTCTTGAATATTGAGCCAACAGTGCTCACTGGGATGGACATACAAACATTTTGATACTTTTTGTAACCTTTTTCCTAATAATATCTCTATCTCCAATGCTCTTTAGTGTTCATTTTCATACCTTTCCTTCAGATTCCTTCAGATTCACAGCCTGACCAAAGGTCCCTAAACAGACTGGAGTTTCTATACAGTAAATGTGATAGTCACTACATAGGTAAATGGTGCCAATGGTAAGGCAATTATATCCTAATTAGAGCGATTTCTTTCATGTGTTTGAACTTAGAGCTACCAAAGCACAGTGGTCTGAATGCTTAAGCAAGAAGAACATTTCATATTTTTCCCACTTTCTTTTAAATACGTGTTGACAAATAAATAATTTTTCTTTAAAAAAAATTATGTTTGAGCATGTGAGTCTGCAATAAAAATGCTGACTGGAAAATGTGTATGTGTATCATTCGTAAAAGCTTAAAACTTTTAAAGGGTCTGAATAATTCTGCAAGGCACTGTATTCTAAATTCGAAATCTTTGAAGAGCAAATGGATTTGGTCAAAAGAGAAAGTGGAGCACCTTTCTTGCTCTGCATTTGTCTTCCTTTAGGTGAAGATTAATTGTGAAATGAGACTTTTTAAAAATACAGTATTTATCTTATAAACCTGTCTAAATTTCTGAATCCAATAATGTGGCATCACTGAATTGCTACTAAACATGTAAGACAGTGACAAGTTAGAGTCTGGAGTGAAGGGGCAATATCTTACCGGACTCTGAGCTCTGGCTGTGGACCAGGACACCAGCCAGTGTGTTGACGTAGTCAAAGAAGGTGCGGATATAATCAACGCTGTGGGCAGCACTCTCTTGGACCTGGAAGTGTTGGTCTACAGAGCGGAGCAGCTGTTTCATCTGAGAGCGTACAGGGTGGGCTTCCAGCTCTGCCAACCTTAGGCTGGCCTGCTCTACCAGAGCACCCAGCAGCCCCGTCCCCCGCATCTCCCCTGTGGGGCAGAGACAGCATCATCATGACAGGAACACATGCACTCACAATCCCTGGACAGGAAGAACTTCAGCTCTTCAGAAAGACTACCAAATAACTCCTTAAAGCTCCAAGGCATTCCCTCCTGTTATATGCTATAATGTTATTATTAGTAATAAACCTGGAAATGGGAGTAATACAGACCAATTAAGTGAACAACTGATTTATTAAGAGTAAAATGTAGGAGAGATTACAAGTAAGGTGATGAACAGATACAATATGTTATAGAATAAGTACCACACTATACTACTGTAATTTAAATATAAATGATTCTAATTTAATTGTTTGTAATTGTATAAAGCTTTTCATCTCAAAGGATGACAAAGTACTTCACATATACACCCACTTGGGTAATGCTTGGCAACCATTATACAATAGCAGCTCCAAAACATAGTAAGAGCAGAAGTAATAAACAATACCAACCTCACTAATTGAATTAAACTTGCTATATTTGTGTTCATCCCAAATGTGTGCAGCAAAACTAAAGACATAGGCTGTCCTAAGTGACAGTGCTACTGTGTTTCTTAACTCAGCAACTCATTCAAGCCAGATGTAAAACACCACTGCTGTTTTTCTACTTGCTTACACTGGAGTAGTGAGAACCATATGGGTCAGATAAAGCAAGATTTAAGAATCCTGTTTCAAAGATTCTAAGGACACAATCTGCTTGAACAGGATATCAATGGCGCAGGCTGCAGACAAGCAGGAATTTAAAATATGATACCTAAAGCCAAGCAACAAGATGCCACAAAAATTTTTATCTGCTTCATTGTGGACCTGTAAAGTTTGCAACTCTAAACATGGCAAGGTTGGTTCTCAGGCCTACTGTGACTTCAGTGTCAGCACTACAAATTGGGATTTTGTTGGATCAGCAGCTTTCAGTGCTCTCTCTGTCCCATGCTCAGCGAAGAGGGGACTGACCTGTGACATCAGCAGCACCAGCCAGGGTGTGCACAACCTGCTCAAACCGCTGTGTGGTGAGGAGCTGCGCAGTGATGCCCTCCTCAGTCAAGCATGGGTAGCAGCTCAGCAACACCTCCACCGCACTGCAGCTGAATGGGCTCCAGGTCTTCTCTTCACTACCCTCTGGAACAGCACAGATGACAGAACATGAATGACACAAAGGGGATGTCAAGTGAATTCAAACAGGCAGAGAAAAGGAAGGCAAGAATTTTATATATATTTTTATTTTTTATTTCATTTGACTCTACATTTATAATATTAGCACCAAATGCTGATGTTAATTTAAATCCAATACTGTATAATAAAATAATATATTTATTCCATGCTGAAAAGAGAAGAAAGAAAATGCAACGTTTCGGCCTTGGAGCCTTCTTCAGGTATGAGCGTTCACACCTGAAGAAGGCTCCAAGGCCGAAAAGTTGCGTTTTCTTTTTTCTCTTTTCAGCATGGAATAAACCTATTATTTGTTCCTTTGCAGCCTACGCATGCGGACGTAGCTCCCCACCAGAACTAATAAAATAATTTATGTGCAAAAGTAGTAAGAGTTTTTTTTATGGGAAACAAACTTTTTCCCACAGACTAGGAAGGACCTATACAAAAATCAGTAAAATAAACTGAAATGGTAGACATGATTAATGACTGTTTCACCTATAACAGGAAATGCATGCATTGATCAAGACAGAATGGGGTAAACAGAACCATTAGGGAACTGGGATCCTGATATAATACCCTTTAAAGAACACTTTGAAACTGTACAGGTTGTGTCCAAATCAAATGTTTACAACTTCAGGAAAGCAAGCTTTAAAGAAATGAGACAGAGCTTAACAGATGTAAATGGAATACAATAGATGGAATCAAATAGAGAATGAGAAGTAAGAGGTAAAAACACTTTATTAAATAGTAGTAGCACAGAAGAGACAGAAGTGTTTTAAAAACTAAAAGCAACCAAGATTAACAAATCCCCAAGACCAGATTTATATCATATGATTTGTACTTAAGGAAACAAGAAATGTTATTCAGAAGCTGTACATCTCACCTCGAAGAACTTTACTAATTTTCTAGGTATCTAACCATTGAATATTTCCTTATAAGTCAAAGACATCTGAAGCTTTGTACAACTACTGATTTTAATTGTTTCTGGGCTGAACCATATTAACAGAAATTGAGCTGACAAATGAACAATATGGAGGTAAATAAAATATAACAATTCTTCCAACAGTAAGCACTTAAGAGTAATACATGTTTAGAAAGGGTAGATTAATAGAAAACAGACTAGATAAGGGATGAATTCACACACTGTAATAAGTACCACTAGGACCACTGCTATGTTTTAAAACAATTTATATCAATGATTCAGACAGGTATAATACAAAATGTCTTGATGAGATCCTTAGATCAATTACGACTACTGTGTGCCGATGGACCGAATATTCTACTCGTTTATAAACTTTCTAATGTTCTTATGCGATTGCCATCTTCTTAGGCTGTGATCTCTTCCTGTAAAATCTTTACTGCAGTTTATCTAGGTTTTAGTAAGCTTTCTGAGCTTCACGTACTGAAAAGCTAGTAAGCCTTTAGATGCACATTGATCCTCCTACCAACTTGCTAGTTGCAATTACATGGTTAACACCATACAGGAACAAGTAATAGGTTTATTCCATGCTGAAAAAAAGAAGAAAGAGAACACAACGTTTCGGCCGTGGAGCCTTCTTCAGGTGTGAGAGAGACAGGGCAGTAGGCAAAGGTAAAGTAGCTGGAGAACAAAGGTTGGGAGGGAGGAGGAGTGAGAGGCGGGAGCAGGGGACAGAAAGAGAGGCCAATCAAGAGGTGTGAAGTCAGAATGGGTGCAGAGAGGTGTGAAATGAAACTTCCAATGAATGGAGAAAATTTAAAAGAACAGTAATCTGTCGTTAAGGGAAGGGAGAATGTGTGATCCTAACTGCAGAATAATTTTAGTTTCGGTGGTCTTTCTGATGTATGAGTTCGGAAAACCGTCTTTGAGAACACAGACGGAGAGATTAGTGTGGTCGTGGCCGTCAGAGGTGAAATGAGAAACAATGGGCTTGGAGAGATCTTTAATCTTCACAGCCCTGACGTGTTCTCTGAGAAGAGAAACTAAAATTATTCTGCAGTTAGGATCACACATTCTCCCTTCCCTTAACGACAGATTACTGTTCTTTTAAATTTTCTCCATTCATTGGAAGTTTCATTTCACACCTCTCTGCACCCATTCTGACTTCACACCTCTTGATTGGCCTCTCTTTCTGTCCCCTGCTCCCGCCTCTCACTCCTCCTCCCTCCCAACCTTTGTTCTCCAGCTACTTTACCTTTGCCTACTGCCCTGTCTCTCTCACACCTGAAGAAGGCTCCACGGCCGAAACGTTGTGTTCTCTTTCTTCTTTTTTTCAGCATGGAATAAACCTATTACTTGTTCCTTTGCAGCCTACGCATGCTGACGCAGCTACCCACCTGAACTACTAACACCATACAGTGCATATAAAAAGTTTAAGAACCTCAAAGATAAATATGGAAATGTAACAATTTTAAAACAATAGCCTTCTTGAAATAAAAACAGTTTTCATGGGCATATCATATATCATATATGTAACAGATTACATGTCTCTTAAAGCAAAATGAGATTTGTTTCAAAGTAAGAAACAAAGTTAAGTAATTAAGGTACAGGGGATATGACAAAGTAGGTGAATCCCTAGTTTCATAATAATAATTAGGATAAGCTGTTTATATAATTAGGTAGATATTGGGAGCTGAGTTTCAAAGGCCCCACCCTACAGTATATAAAGACCAGAAAGAGTGAGGTTGGTCTTCACCATACAGGTGTGTGGAAATAAATCATGCCATAATCTAAGGAAATCTATGAAGACCTCAGAAAAAGAGTTAATGATACTCATCAGTCCGGAAATTGTTACAAAACCATTTCTAAGAATATGGGGCTCCACCAATCCACTGTCAGACAGACAGTCTACAAAAGGAGAAAATTTAATGCAATAGTCACTCTACCCAGGAGCATTTGTCCTACCCAAATCTCTCCAAGAACCAACCAGAAAATCACCAAGGAAGTTAAAAGAACAACAAGCAACACCAAGGAACTGCAGAAAACTCTTGTCTCGCCTAATGTAATCACTCCCAACTAATCAACTATTAGAAAATGACTGAACAAGAATAGTGTTCATGGAGGCCTTGAAAGGCTAATGGTAAGGGAGATCTGTCTGGTAAGGGGTTGCGGCTGGGGAGTCTGGAGTCTAAAGCTGACTACCCATTTTGTTTTAGCACTGCAGGTGATGTGGGGAGAAACCTGCAAAAACATATTTTAAATTTGATATAGTGTGACTAGTTGAGATTTTTTTAGATGCCCATTTGTTGATACATCTTTGTATAAGATGATTGTATGTTATTTTTGTACATAACAATAGAAAATAGTGTTCATGGGAGGATAGCAGGGAGAAAACCACTGCTCTCAACAGAGGACATTGGTGCCTGTCTGAAGTTTGCCAAAGACCACATACAGTACTCTGAAAAAGTATTTGCTTCCTTCCTGATTTCCTCTATTACTGCATATTTGTCACACTGGATGTTTTCAGATCTTTAGACAAAATCTAGTATTAGATAAAGGAAACCTGAGTGAACAAATAACACTTTATTATTATTATTTATTAGATAAACAAAGTTTTCCAACACTCTGTGTGAAAAAGTAATTGCCCCCTTACACTTAATAACTGGTTGCGCCACCTTACTAGAACTGCAACCAAACGCTTCCTATAATTCTTTCACATCACCATGGGGGCATTTTAGTCCACTCTTTCTTTCACAGAACTGCTTTAATTCAGAAACACTGGCAGGTCTTCGCACACGAACTGCTCATTTCAGGTCCTGCCACAACATCTCTATTGGGTTTAGGTCTGGACTTTGACTAGACCACTCCAAAACTTTAATTTTGCTTCTTTTCATCAGTGATAGACAGGGCACAACAAAATTAAAGGTGAGGGGGGACATACAAACTGTTCTCCGATGGGCTCAGCTGTGAAACTTTGAGACTGGCCATTCCCAGACTTACCCAATTTTGCCTGACCTTTAGCAGTAGGTGTGTGATTGAGGATTTTACCAATCTGCTGCAGCACTGCTGGGAACCCTCTGAGCCCTTCAGGGTGGGTGACAGTGTGATCGGCTTTCAGTCCTGCATTAGTTAACAAGCAAAATATAACAATGTGAACTCCTGCCATGACAGACGTTTTTCTGAGGCAGGAGGACATTTATGTCAGGATTTTATGGCTTAGTAAAGAGCATCATTTCCATTTACCCCAGTGCAGTCTGTGTTGTGAATGTGAACACAAGCCCAAATGATTGTGCTGAGCCACTCTGGGCATCACCAGGTGAATTCTCAGGATATATACCTGGACAATGACACTTTTGCTCGTCTATTAAGCCTTAAAAACTTTCATCCAGAATGTGAAAAGGTCCAATAGCAAAACAGGACAAAATTATTTATTTTTCTGGAGTAAATATATGAATTTTAAGTACACAGATGAAAGAAAAATACATTATTTGTTTTTGAAGTCACAGTGAATAACTGTGGTTAAATTATAATGCACAGTTGTACAGATACAAAGATTTGCTTAAAAGTACTGACATCATGGATAAACTGTTAACCATGAATGAATTCTTCGTTTGTAAATAAATATTCTTGACACTGGAAAAGGAAAACGGAACATAAACAAAATGGTCAAATTCAACAAGTTACAAACAAAATTTGGTCATTTGAGAACCTCAATGCTCCAAGAGAAGATTTTAGCTTGCTCTTGTTTTTGGAAGAGCCAGTGTATACCTCTGCTCTCCAGGCTGCTGTGTAGCCGCCTGTCTGCTATCTCCAGGAGTTGCTTGGAGGTCTTCCACAGCTGGCACTGAGTGCAAGCCAGGTCAAAGGCTGCCATGCCCGGCGAGCTCAGCTCATCAAGCGGCCCCCTGAGGGGGCTTTTGGCTTCCAGGACCATGTTGTTCAGCCAGTAGCTCTCCTGCAGGGTGGGCAGCTGCTTCCCAGGGGAGCTCAGCAGCTTGTCCGCCACATCCGAAATGGAGTAGAACACCATGCCTGCACAGAGCACCCAAGAAAACATTCAGGAACAGATGTCATAGCTGGAAATTCCTTTTGGCATTATGGAATCTGGTCTGAAAAACAGTTTTCTGCCATGTGTTTCCTTAATATTATAGAAACTAAATGTCTAAATCTAGAACAAAAACTTCTTTGTTTCTTCTTGGAAACTTGTAGCATCCTTCAATTGGTATTAAGACTTAAGTTCTGTCTAAATTGTTCTGAATTTCCTTTATAGCTTCTAAAGTGTTTATTAATCCTATTTTGGCATAATCCTATATTGACAAGTTTACAAACTACACCACAATCTAAATTATCTAATTAAGTGGTTCTAAAGCACATCCTTATGGTACTACAGTAATCGTATGAATCTCTGCTGTCCCCTGAACAATCACTAGCCATTGAACACCAGTGAGCCAGTCCTCAACTTGTCTCCTTAAAGCATTTTCTACCCAGACTGTCTCACTCAGGCTCCCTTACTCAGACTGTATGAGAAATGTTCCACAATTCTACAGACCATGACCACTGATCATCTCTGCAACATAACAGTAAGATGCCGCCACCAACAAGACAACAGGTAGTAACATCAAGTACTATTGTTTCTTATTTCTTACCAGAAATATTTGAAGTTTAAAAGTAGTAAAAATGTAGTGAAGAGTATGGTTTTACCAGCTGCAGCGGCACTGCCGATGGCCTGCAGGGTGGAACGCCCACTACTGACCCTGCGCCCTGAGCCCTCTGCTGTCTGGCTCTCGATCTTCTGCTCCACCTGGGCCAACTCATCCAGAACCTGCTGGTACCGCTCCATGAACAACAGCTCCCCGTAACACACTGACGACTCCAGGCCAAACATCTGAGCCACCTACGGGTTAATGGACCAGCACTGGTTATAAAAACCTGACATAAAAAGCACCTGAGGTTACTCAGAGGAAAGCTTTAAAATTTGAAACTCAACAAATTCAATGAATGCTTTTATATCCCGGTCACCTTTTCAGAACAAAAAAACCGCGACAGACCACAAATGTAAAAGATTAACACTTATACAAACATGGCAGTCTGGAGAAGGTAATGACATTTCCTGGAACACTATCTGGGAAAATAAAAAAAATGACATATAAAATGTCCAACCACTGAATTATTTGTTGAAATTCTCTGTGTACATAATTCCTCATAAACATAGACATCATGAGAAACTAGACCAGAGTCCCAAGTGTCTGAGGTGAGGTGGAGCATCTTACCAGATGGTGCCTTGACAACAATATGGCCCTGAACGTCTACAAGACAAAAGAACCCATTGTGGACTTTAGGAGACCCTGAGGGAGTCACAACATGATCAGCACTGAGGGTACAGCAGTGGAAAATGTCAGCTGTTTCAGATTCCTCGGTCAGCAGATCTCCATCAACTTGGCTTGGTTTCACAAAACTATAGCCAGTCTGAAAAAGGCACAAAAGCACTTGCACTTTCTGTGGTTCGTAAAGAAATGTGGTATGGGGAAGCAGCTACTCATGAACTTTTACTGCAGCACCACAGAAAGTGTCCTCACTAGTGGTATCACTGTATGGTACAGAAATACTACCATACATGACTACAAAGAATTATGGCAACTGGATTATAGGCAGTGCCAGCTTGTCCATAGGCGAACTAGGCAATTGCCTGAAGCAGCATTTGAGCAAGGGCAGCTAAATGTACTGTAACAAGCTCGGGTTCCGCCCCAGTTCATCCCTCACCGCATGGGATCGAACCCAGGCCCCCAGGGTCACTCAACAGGGAACTTGCCGATTGAGCTAAAGGAGACCTCCATTAGCCCAAGTGGCTAGCTTCTCTTCTATGTGCAGGGGAGGGCAGTGACAGCACCGCGCTATAATCGGCTCATACAACCTGTATGTCGGCTGTTCGTTACAGTACCATTTCAAACTATTCTGCGACTTATTAGAAACTTGACTGCAGACCACGTCATTCTACAAGCTCTCTCTGATCACTCCAAATGGCCAAGGAATACATCAGTCCTGGCTTGTGCCTCCCACCCCTGAGTCTGTGGCACTGGCACCAATTTCGATCAATTGGAGAGATTTTTCGTGTGCAAAGCAAAGAGCAGCATGTCAAAATGACCAAAACTGTCCAACTGTGAATGCAAAAAGAGTAGACTGTTAAAAGAGCAGGCACTCCACAAACAGAAAGGCTCATTCTTAAAATACATTGCCTCAGAGTCAGACTCAGTTAGCACAGATGATAATCTGTCAACATCACATCATCAAATCACTGATGCAGACAGTAATTGCGTCTTGTCCAAAACAGAGACCCACGAGCCGCTAACGTTACAAGCTGAGGAAAATGATAAGTGGCCGGCAACAATTAACCAAGGACTTCGAGATATTTTGATACAGAAGGGACCACACCAAGTCAAAAGATTTGATTTTCCCAGGGACAGCGGACAAAGAAAATTTTCCACTTGTCATTATAGTTGGACTTTAGCAAATGGGGAGAAACTGGAGAGGCCATAGCTCATTTATTCAGTTAGCAAGGATGTTATGTTTTGCTTTTGTTGTAGACTTTTTCGTGAAAGTGAGAGAAAATCAGCTCTGGCAAAAGACGGTGTCAAAGACGTGAAAAATTTGTCAAGCATCTTGAGCGCCCACGAAAAGTTGAATGAGCATATAGAATGTTTTCATAAATGGAAAGAGCTGGACACAAGGTTGGCATCTCTTAACACTGTAGATGTGCAAAATCAACTGAAAATATTAGCTGAAACAATGCATTGGCAGCAAGTGTTGCAACATCTGGTAAGACTAGTAAGAGCAATGGCCATGCAAAATATAGCATTCCGTGGTAGACAGACTGTTTGAGCACAATAATGGCAATTTCTGAAACTGATAGAGATGATTGGCCTTTTGATAATGTTATGGCTGAACAAATTAGTCTCATGGAAAGTAAGTTGGGGTATGCGAAAAGAAATTCCCAATACAAGAAATTGTATATGGCCAATACAGTGATCTTAAAATTAGCAGAGTAACTTCTAAAGAAACACACGTGGGTAAAGGAATTCAAAATGAAATCATAGCAATGCTAGCTTCCCAGATTCAGCACAAAACTCTTACGATGCCCAAATCAGCTAAGTACAACTCAATAATTTTAGATTCTACACCCAACATGAGTAGAATCGAACAGATGACAACGATCGTGCGCTTTGTTACAACACAGGAAAGCCGCATGAAGATTGCGGATTGATAAGATGGACATGAGAGGTTGGCTGAAAATACGATGAATGACAGCGATTTTGACCAATTAGATCAGCTTTTTTGAAGCGGGCAAATTCAAAATTCAATTGTAATAGCCCCATGGTTCTCAAACTATGGTACACGTACCACTGCTGGTACGCAGAGCGCCCGCAGGTGGTATACCAGATGACCCTGGAAATTTGTTGTGTGCACTGAAAAATTGGGACGGGTTTTCATATTTTCTATTTTAATAAAATGAATTTATGTGTCAAATACACAGGCTACGTATTACGATACAGTGCGCGCTAATACTTGAGTGGACACAAGTACTTGAGCTACTATGTAATTCTATACCATTGTATAGGAATGTGTGCTACAAATGTAAGTGGCTAACTGTATTTAAAAAAATCTCCAGCAAATAGGGAGGTAGGAGAATGTGCATGATTTTTGGAACAATACCAATCTTGTTGGCACAGTAAAGTGTGATAGAAAACAGAAAAATATTTAAGGACTGTTCTAATTTAATTTGAGAAAAATACACCGAGCATCTCTGTGTTTCGCTCCCTTGCGCATTAAATAAAAACTTATTTTAACTTCTGAGACGGACTCCGGAAATGAAAGCAAGGGAAAAATTTAAGCTTGCGGATTGCTAAAGCAGGTAAGCCCCACACTATTTGTAAAGAACTTTGTTTACCATTGGCAAAAGAGCTGATGTATTGTGTGGAGAAAAAGCTGCTAAACTGCTCGACCTGCTGCCCCTTTCAAATGATACAGTCACTCTTAGATTTATTGATATGGCAGATGAAGTCAAAAGTACGCTGATGGAGCACATTAAGATGAGCAGATGCTTTTCACTGCAATTAGATGAGTCTGTAGATGCCGTTGATTTGGGGAAATTTGCTCGTTTACGTTAGATATGAGTTTGAGGGCACCTCCAATGAGGACTTTCTGTTCCGTAAGCCGCTACCAACAAGAACTACAGGAGAGCATATATTTCAGCTTCTGAATGAATTTATCGAAGAGAATGGCATCGACTGGAAAAAATGCGTCGGCGTTTGTACAGACAGTGCTAGAGCGATAACAGGCAGACACAGCAGTGTAGTTACACAAATTACAGAGGTTGCTCCAGATATTAAGTGGACGCACTGCAGCATCTGTTAAAATCTGTTAGACTCTGCTGTCAAAGTTGTGAATTGTATCAAGGCTAAACCAATGAATTCACATCTGCTTTGCTTGACTAAACAGGCTCACCCCTCTCACTGAAATGGTAAGTGCTCAGTGCTATTTTTTATTATATGTGTATGATATGTGTGTGTGTGGGTGTGTGCTCATGTTAGTCATTGAGATTTTCTGTGGTTCCTATGAGAAGATGACTTGTAGGTGGTACTTGGATGCTTTGGTTTGATCAGGGGTGGTACTTGGTCCAAAAACTTTGAGAACCACTGCAATAGCTTATACATTTCAGTTTCCTCCAGGTCTTTAGATGAGTCAGGCTAGCCTTTTGTGGATATACAGCTGCTCTTACAGAGGCTCCAAAGAAGGTAAAAACATGGGATATATTTTTTTTCTTGCACCATTAAAGCATGGACCACTAGGCTTAAACACAGCTTCTACTCTCCTGCAGTAGGACCTCTCCACTATGCATTGACTACTATGTTTTTGTTGTTTTTCACTACCACATATTTATTGTTCTCTACAGCGTATTTATTGTTCTGGTTGTTACTATTTATTATGTTTGTCTCTATTGTGTGGTGTTGTCTTACTGTGCTGTCTGCTGTTCTGTGTATGACCTGAGAGATCGGCGTGAATACGAATTCTAATGTACATGTCCATATGGCAATAAACTCCTCTCCTGCTCTGTTCTATCTGTGAGGGGGAAGATAGACTACAGTTTTACATGTTCTGGGAGCATCTGTATAATGGTATGTTTTTGTAAAAATCGTTTCTTCTTTTTTGCCAGCTATTCTAGTATTCTCACCTTGTGCTTTTGTTGAATCCTGACTCCATTTCTGACCTCATGCCACAGCATAAATGAATGTGGTTGGCTGATCTGAGTTGAAGCTAAAAATAAATTGGCACTACATTGGGAGACTCTGCCAACCTAAAAAAATAGTTTGTCATTGCAGCCTCCTGAAATAGTAAAGATGCATTCCATATATACCACACAGACAGACACTTGTGCAGACATTTTCTGGTCCATGCCCAATGTCCAGGACATGTCAGTACGAGTGCTTCTACCATGTTTCTTCATTTCTTTTCCAAGACACCACAGTACCTGGTGTCCCTCTGCAAAGTTGCTCCTCAGGATGCAGGAAACCAGTAGAGAGTCTGGTGGTGAGAGCATCATGGGAACCAGCAGGCTCTGATGGGTGTCCAGGGCAGTTTCCTCTGGCTCTCTCTGACTGGCAGTATCAACAGCACTTCCAACTGGGAGGAGAACAGACACAGGGGGTTGAGATAAACAGGCGTTCAGCTAGAGAACTTCCTCTGGCAACATGCTGACTAACAGTCCCACCACAGCACATTCTCTTCTCAACTATCATTTATACAATTTATTAATTTTCTACTACTTGTATAGGGCTCAAATAGCAACAACACAAAATTATTACTATAACTTATTTCACTAACACTTTTATCCAAAGTGACTTAGATTTACACCCATTTATATAGTTGTGTATTTTACTGAAGCACTTTAGGTTAATTACATTGCACAGTTATAAGTCCCTAACCCTAATCACTTTTTCACTCTGTACTAATATACATTATGACTACATATAATATAGACAACATATTAAACCAATGTGGGTGTCATGGTAGCACGGTGGGTTCAATTCTGGACCTGGGTGCTATCTGCTATCTTTCAGTTTTGAAACCGTGGCAGGAACCCAAAGCACCCAAAGGAAACTAATGCAAACACAGTGACAACATATAAACTCCATACAGATAGCACCCAGTTATAGCAACAGGTAAAACTGTGTACCAATATCACAGTAGTGAATAGTGTCTCAGTGTTAATTACAGAGGAATGCAGGTTCTTCAGAGCAGGTGGTTACTTTCTCCCATGAATAACAAAGTTTTGTCCTAAAGAATAGCAAAAAAACTACATATTTTTAAACAAAAGCACTTATTTAATTTTGATCATATGTTTCTTAGCAATTCCATTTTCCACATTTATAACAAAAGCAATCACTAGTCATTAAGTTGTTCCCTGCTCAGAGAGATCTGATAATCAAGAATAATTCCTAACAGTTCAGTATGAATACTGTACTGGTTCTGATGGGAGTAGAAGTCTGTGGAGCACTTGCCATTCAGCCTGAACAGCGCTGTGCCTACCTGCCACTCTCCTTTTCATGCTGCCATGCCTGACAGACACCGCAAGCGATTTCTGCATATCACAGACCTGCCCTTCTGCAAAACACAATCAACCACACAGCACAGTGATGAAAACATTTCAATATTTCATTTACTGCATATAAGGTGTACGTAACAACCCTGTATAAACAATGTTAGATAAATAAAAAGTGTTGTAACCTATACAAATTAATCTGAAGAACCTGTATTTTTCAAGGAGATGCACGTGTAGCGGCAATGCTTGTTAATAAGACAGAATTAAGTGTTGCTGTGCTCTCTGAAGGCACCAGTTCTGTAGGGTTTGGGCATTTACGGGGACAATTATTAATTGTAGCAGTAAATCACAAAATTGATTCTTTTGATGGCTTTAGAATCCAACCATGCGATATAACTCAAACAACGCACACACACAGGTACTAATCCACGAGGATACATTTATTAATACATAGAATATGCATGTAAACCTAACAGATCTTATCATGAGGGTTATTAGAAAACAAAAGATATATATTCAGTCAGTTACAAAGAGTTACATATATCAAGAGGACATACGTTAAGTATATCACTCATTTAGACCGTTTCGTAAATGAACTTGGTTATAACTTCTACATTAAATAGTCAAAACAAGTACATAACTCTTAGGAATTAAACTGATATCAACTGGTTGGGATAACAATTGAATTCTCAAGCAGTAATGCAGTGAAGTTGAATACTCATCCAATCTCTGGGGATTCAGATCTCCTGCGGACTCAAAGAAACAGTGGCAGGCTGTTGCTGTCCAATCCGCGCTCTCTGGCTCTGTGGCAGGCTGTGCTGTGCGGCTTGCGACGCTGCGCTGCTGATGCTCACTGACCGGCTAGTTAGTGTTGGCTTTAATTAGCACAGTTTGTGCACAGGAAAAAAGATGACTGTGGGTCCCAGCAGGTCAGGAAGAAGACCGGTTCATTCCTGATGAAG